AAAATAATAAAGAAAAAACTATTTTTTAAAAATAAAAGAAACTGGTGACCCGTTGGTTCACCAGTTGCCGCATGGTTGCGTACGAGTGATGTATTTCCTTACTCGTTTAGTCGTTTACAGTTTTTACCCGTTTGACCCGTACTCATGATTACCCGACCCGTATCTACCCAGCTTGCCCGTTTGTCAGGTCTAACTATAACTCGTCAAAAATCAATTGCAGGTTCTTTCCTGTGTGCTATGAGTAAGGCAGTAAGGCTACCATTTTTAGTTGTTGATTGTTGTTAATAGGAATGTTGTGTAAAATTGTTTGTCATTTAACTAGGTCGTGTTAACTTGTGTTTTCAATTAAATAATAAAAAAAAAAAAGTGATCTTTAAAGGATTGGTTGAATGAGGTGTAAATATACATATTGTTAATTTTTTTTTAATTTATGGGAAAAACTCTATCTAATGAAAATCAGTATAACCTTGACAAATCTTCTTTAAGAAATTTCGTAAGATCAGCTTTTAGATATTTTTAAATTAACATGAATCTCCTTGTAACTAGATTAAACTTTAAGAATAGTTCCCGAGTCAATTGCAAAGAAATCCTACCTATAACAGTGTAACCTTATCCTCATTCTGGCTAGCTAAACCTTCTTAATTTCAATACAATTGTATTAAATTTAAATGATAATTTAAATCATGAAATTAAAACTTAACGTTCTTACTACCAAACCTAACAACACATGTAACTATCATGAATTAATTTGATATAGGTAAATAATAAAACTTAAATTCTAGGTGGAAAGAATAATAATTTATCAAGATCATATCATACGTTATTTGAAAACCGATATCCTTATGAGAAGTTCACCTTTATTTATTTCTATTTGATAGAGTTTGCATATCATAAATTTCAAAGGTTATTAAGAGAAATTGGGTTCAACCAATCATCATTTTATAAAATTTTAATAAATAATTAAATTATCGATAGAACATATATTATATATAGATATTGTTATCTTAAATTTATTATATATTTATTTATTTATGATTGGGGTGTCCAAACAAGCTTGCTTGCATCTTAATTTATCCCTAGGATCCATTGAACACCCTACAAGCTAGTTCTAAAGTAAGCCACAAATAATGTGGTAAGTGGTCTCAAGGTGGTTTGAACCCAAGAAATATTGCTATCTTAAATTTACATATGTGTGTGTGTGTGTGTGTGTGTGTGTAAGTATTTATTAGATATTAATATAGTAATTTATTAAATCATATGGACTAAAAGTGAATTTCCAATATTCGAGGGATCTTTTCCCCGAACCCATATGAGTTTCAATGAGTCTTACTATAATCGGTTTATCTAGACATATATGTACTTATATTTTTCTTCCACGGCATACCTTTCATGTCATTGGCTGTTGCCTTGCTTTGATTTCTCTAGACGTGATTGAAACGAGTCTCGACTGATGTTGAAAAATCAACGAATGAGTTGTGGTTACGGATGAAATGCCAATCAACAATTAAAATGAAGCAAGGTCAAGAACAATAAATCTCTTTATGAATTATGATAAATATATCTATTTAACAAGTTCGTTATTATGGGTAAGAATTTTTATATACATATACTTAAGAAATGAGTGTTAAGAATATATGTACAATTGTACATCATATATATGTATTTATTTTCTCCTTAATGTACATAACATAGCTAAAGCGAATAAGTACTATTACTATATTTTGCTGCCTTTATAAACTATAATGAATAAATATATAATGGACAAATGGAAATTTTCAAAAAAAATCAATGGTATTTTTCAGTATTATTTAAAATGAGGGTAAATTTTTTAAAATATGTATCAAAGTTTTTGAAATAATCTTGGAGGGGCAATTAATATATATAATTAATATACATAATCAATATATATTTTACTGTTTGCGAGCCTCAGAGCTCGAAAGCTCGTTCAATGGCCTACAAATTTTCACCTGTTTGCGAGCCTAAGAGCTCAAGAACTCATTAACTGTTTGCAAATTTTCAACTGTTCGCGAACTACCGAGCCGATTACTACCATGTTTGATACTCAGTTCATACATTACTCAAACTGTTCGAGTTTGAGTTCGATTCAACATATTCTGAGCCGAATACGAACTTCAGCCGAGCCGAGCACGAGCTATTCGCAAACAGATCGGTTCAACTACAAGCCTAGGGGTAGATATGATATCATGCATTTCCCTATTAAATACCTCCTTTGGGTTATGTAATGACTACCTTGGTTATGGAATTACGTTTATCAGTTTATGTGACGAGGTTTCATAAGCTTCTCAACTTGTAATGAAGAGAATGAAACCACATCAATTTTAGAGGTGTTTTTTAATTATTTTTCCAAATTTTTAAGATACATTTTATTGAATGTGTAATCCTACTAGGTGTTAGTCAATTGAAAAATGATTTGATAAATTATTTAACAATACATTATTTAGGATGTAATTTGTTAGGAACCTGGTTCTGGGATGATTGGGAAGATATACAAAAATGGTACGTTAAGTAGAATTAGGCAATTAAGATATCTTGTAATTACAATATCTTTTAAAATAGGAACTATAATTATTCTATTATGAAATTAAAATAGGAATTAGAGTCTTTTTAGGAGTCATTCGGAGTCTAAATCTAAATCGTGATTATCAATGAAGAATTTTGTCAACTAATCTCCTTGTCTCTTGTTCTTAGAGATCTATGTTCCTCATATAAGCAGATCCTATCTCAATCCCTATCATTGGTACTCTTGTTCTTTTTCTATGGCAGATGAAACCGTACTTTGGATGAAACCGTACTTTGGATGATCAAGATCCGACAGGATGGACATTTAAGGCGAAACAATTTTCAATAACTTTGACACACCATTTGAACAGCGACTGATTTGTTCTTAGTTTCACATGGATGGACCGGCTCTTTCCTAGTATCACTGATGTCTTCCAATGGACAAATTCATTCTTGGGATTCTTTTCTACAAACCTTGGAGGTTCGTTTTGGACCCTTCATAATTGTGGATTATCAAGGGTAGTTGGCGAAATGCACGCAGCCAAATGGACATCGACTTCACACTTTAGAAGATCTGGAAGACCAGGTAACCAATTTGACAGCTATTCAGTCTTTGCAAGGTGCGAAGCTTGATTCAATGGAGGATCTTCTCAACGAAATTTCACGGCAACTCCTGGTATTGGAATCCCAGTTGGATAAATCCATACGACAACAACAACCCCGACCTTTTCCCTGGAATCGAAAGTCATTTCTCAAGTGGGTTCCATTAGATATTCTTCCAAATTATGTTGCGGTTGTCGCCTGCCAGCAGCATGCCATTGACCTTCCCTTGGTCCCTCACTGTCATAATAACATCTATCCTCCATCACTACAGACACCCCTCACCAAGCCTCCCATATGTTCTGCTCTCTCCCTGGCGGCGCTGCCCAACTCTCCACTTTGAGCCGCCTATCATAGCGTCCTTGGCACAACCTCTGAAGCTGTCATCGGGAAAGCTTATCTTAGATGGGAACTCAGTTCGATTAATCATCGTCTCTTGGATTTACCTAGTGTGCGAAGGGAGTATCTCTTTCAAGTGTTCATTTTGACGTCGGGGTTGAAACTTTGGCTGTCTCTTTATTGCCTTGGCCCTCATTTGAGCCAAATGATTTTTTATGGTTGTTCACAATTAAGGGTCTTGGCTTCGATAACAACTACGGGTTATGTTGTAGTACCCTGCAACCTTGAGGACAAGGTTGATCCGAAGGGGAAGGTAATGTTAGAAACCTATTCTGGGATGATTGAGAATTATATACAAAAAGGGCACGTTAAGTAGAATTAGGTAATTAGGATATCTTGTAATTATGATAAGTTTTAGAATATGAATTATAATTACTCTATTATGCAATTAAAATAGAAATTAGAGTCTTTTGAGAGTTATTTGGAATCTAAATCTAGATCGTGATTATCAATAATGAATTTTGTTAATTAATTTTGTTCTCTTGTTCTTGGAAGTCTCTATTCCTTATATAAGCAGCAGATCTTATTGCGAACCTTATCATAATTTTTCCTATAAACATTCTCAAGCTTATTATACGTAGTGATGGCAATGGGCCGGGCTGGGATCGGGTACCCCTTGGCCCAGGCCCAAGCCCGACCTCATGACACAGGCCCAAGCCCGGCCCGAGCCCGCTACGGGTATGATAGGCAAAGCCCAAGCCCGGCCCGACAGGTTTTTTATAACCATAGGCCCGGCCCAAGCCCGCCTTTTTTAATAATGTTTATTTTTAAATATTAATAAATTTCAATTTTTTTATTTTTAATTTTAGAAATAGTTTTTAAATATTAATTGAAGCTATTTCCGCAANCGAAAAATTTTGTGAATTAATTTCACTGTCTCTTGTTCTTGGAAGTCTCTGTTCCTTATATAAGTAGATCTTATCCCAAACCCTATCATAATTTCTCCTATAAACATTCTCATGCTTATTATACGTTTGATAATTTCTTAAAATTTGGGAGTATTTTCTGAAATTCAGCCAATAATTTTGAGCTAGAACTTCAAAACAAGAGAAGGAGATAGCGACAAAATAGTAGCCATGTGGTTAGGTGTTGTTAGGTGTGGTTAGAGCACGTGAGAGAGATAATGCATCGATTCCCATGCAACCGAAAGCGGGTCTGTTTAGTAAACCACGAACACTCCCTCAAGAACTTTCATTAAACTATGCTTTCAATCTCTTCACTGTCTTCTTCCTCTTCTTCTTACAAACTTAAAAAAAAAAAAATATAATAATAAAAAATACAAATTCTATAGCTTTCTTTAGTTTACTTTTTAGGTAGCCTTAAATATTCATCTTAAATATAAAATTATTGACAAAAGTTTCAAAATTTTGACGTTGAAGCTGATAAAATAATGGAAGAAACATTTATTTTTGTTTTTTTACTGTAAGAGCGTATATATTTTTAAGTTGGTAAGCATGTACCTCCTGTTTCCCACTTCCGCATTTCCAGGATCCTCCTCTTTCTGATATTTTACTCCACTTGGGTTCTCCATTTTCTCGGGAAACTATAGAGTTTTCTCGAGAAAGTTAGTCGTTATTTTGAGTGCTAATGGGTTGTTGTTTATGGAGATGAGAGAAATGGAGGAGGTGATAATTAGGCAAGGGAGGTCTCTGGCGGAGACTCCAACGTACTCCGTTGCTTCAGTCATCACAGTCTTGGTTTTCGTTTGTTATGTTGCTCAAAAGTCTATTTACAAATTTGGAAAGGTATGTTTGGTTCCTGAGAAAATGTGGGAAAGTAAAGAAATTCTGTTTTTATTTTTATCCTTTCTTGTTGAAATTTACTTGCTTATGTTAATAGTTTGGACCCACATTGTTAATTTTCTTAGCTTAACAAAGAAGTGTCAAAAGGTCAAGAAAGTAACCGCTTTATATTAATGGCTTCTTTGGTTTCTGAGAAAGTGTGGGAAAATTAAATTGTTTGCTAGTTTTTCTAACTGGGATAAATGTTAATTTGTTAAGAAAAGGGGAATCTGGTTCGTTATTGAGAAAATGTGGAAAAAAACAACGTGTTAAGATTCCTGATCTTTTTCCCACTTAGGACCCACATGGCAGTTGCCTCGATTGTTTTCAGGAAAGTTTCCAAAAAGTTCGAAGAATTGGATTTGTTATCTAGAAAATGTAGAAACTTTGTAATATGTATTGATTTGATTCCCAAGAAAATGTTGGAAATGGAAAGAAACGCCAAATTAATTTCGTTTTCCTTTCCAGCTTGGAGTTTAGATAGATTTCCCAAAGGTTTGGAGGAAATCAATTTTGTAATATTAACTCTGTTTGGTTGCTCGGAAAATGTTACAAAGTGAAAAGAATTTTGTTTTTTCTTTTACAATTTTGGAACCAGAATAGCCATTTGGATTAGCTCACAAATTTTAGTCAAATGGGGTGGGAATATGAAGAAATTAACAATTGCCAAAAAGCTGTTCAAATTCGTAGAAAAATATTTATTTATTTATTTATTTTTAAATTTATGTAGTGGTTGAAGAAAACAAGGAGGAAGGCTCTATTTGCTTCACTAGAGAAGATTAAAGAAGGTGGGTTTCTTCAATTAGTTTCAACTTTCACTTTTCTTGATTTAAAATTGATACTGATTTTTCATCAAGTTTCTGTTTGTTCTTTTGTTAATTTGGTTTAGAATAGCATTTCTTATATTGCATTTGGGTTTTGATTTGTGTTATTTTTATTTATTTATGTGTTTGTTTGTTTTGCTGATAGAGCTGATGTTGCTGGGGCTTATATCTTTGTTGTTGGCGCAATGGGCACGAGGGATATCCGAGATTTGTGTGAATTCATCACTTTTCAGCAGTAAATTTTATATCTGTTCTGAAAAAGATTATGGCATCAATAAGCATGTCTTGTTAAAAAGTTCCTTCTCTTTTCAAAATGAATCTGATATTCCCCCCAGAGGAATTAACACTCACACATCTCATCAATGTGGTGAGGTAAAATTCTTCTTTTACCATTTGAATAACTTTGTTGCACTCTTGGTTTGTGAANTGATTCCACATTAAAACTTTGTGAATCAAAGACACTAGCCATGCACTAAACTCTGCAATTTACCAAATAAAGACACATTTATGGTTAGCTTATATTGCACTTGAAGATGGTATCTCTACAGATCTCGACGTTACAAATAAATTTTATCTCATTTTTTCTGCATTATGATACCAAAATGCACATTACATTACACATTTGCCTCAAACAAAAAAAAAGCTTTCTTTTGCGAGCTTCAACTAAATCTGAATCCCACATAAATTAATGAAATCCAACTATTGGAGCTTTTGTCGGAGTATCGGGCGGCGGTGATGGCAGCATGGTCAGTGCCACGATGCCACTTGCTGCGGCAAAGACTGCTCCGGCGAGAAAAGCGGGCATGTTGCCTCCTCCGAATAGAGCATCAAAGGGTCCTCCAACTAAAGACACCAGCATCTGTAAAACCAGTAATCTGTAAGCAAATTTTGCAGGTATGGGTGTTGCAATTATGAATCCAAAACTAAAAATTAGAGATGTCAAATGGATGGAATCAAACTCCACAGGAAAACATACCTGTGGAATAACTATTGCAAGGTTAAGAACTCCCAAGGAAAGCCCTGTAAATGTGAAAATTTTCCAATAAAAATTAGAAGGTGACTGAAAATATGAATCAGAAACAATTTCTTAAAAGGGGTGGAGGAAGTTTATATACCTTGACCAGCAGTTGAAGATTTACAGAATATGGATGCCATAGCAAATGGGACACTGAAAGTTATCTGTGCATAATGTGAAGAAGTTAATATCAAAGTAGAAATTTAATTTAATTTCTACCATTAATAGCTCAAAAAAAAAAAAAAAAAATTTATTTGGATAAATTACAAAATTAAGTTACAATACTTATTGAGAGAATATAATATATAAGATGAGTGGAGAAATCCAAATTTGATCTCAAGAATCATAAGAAACAAAAGGTTGGTACAAAGTAAAAATAAATAAATAAAATTGACCTTTAAGAATAATGCCAAAAGTTAGAAAAATTATAACAATGATATAAGATTAAATAAGTGCCTTACCAAGACAGATTAATAAATATGAGAAAATATAAAAAAAAAAAAAAGGACATTGAAAGCATTGAATTGAACCAATTCTGGTCCAATCAAATCATTCAACTTGGCAACATTCAAATGAAAAATGACAAAATTATTTATTTTTGTTTTTTGTTTTATTTGCTAAAAGAGATTTCAGCATTTATTTTGCATGTGCTTATGAGTAAAATGAACCCAAAAATAGTGTTTTATGTAGAAGTAGAGCCCATATTTTAAAATTTTACTTAATAATTTAGCAAAGCAAATTATGGTTAAATTTTATTTCATAAAAATAAATTATGCTTGCAACATGCCTTAAAAATCAGGATAAAATCATACATCATTTTTTTTTTTTTTAAAACTAATAGTAGTCTACCCATCAAAAATTGAAAAGAGAAGCTAAATTCAATTGATTTTTACTAAATTTTTAATTTTCAGTAAATTTCATAAAATAAAAAAATAAAAATTCCTCAAAATTTTATCAAATACTTCTATTTTTTATTTTTTACAAAAACAGAACAAGAAATGCCGCATCAAGACCCAATTATAATTTGTCACAATCTTCAATAACATAAAAAAATAAGATAAAGTTGAAGAATATCTATTTTCTAGAAGAATCTCTAACGGTGCTTTTAATATAAAAAATCATCTTTTATATAAATAAAAATATTTTTATTGATTTTTAATTATGAGGGACAAATTTTTTGTTCAAATCTAATAGACTCTTTAAATTTTAAGAAAGAGGATATGTTTTTTCAAAAAATCAAAAAAAACTTAATATGAGAGATAAATCATAAATAAAATACGTAAAAATTTGTAATTTATTTTTTAAAATTATGATAAAGTATAAAAAAATCAATCTCATTCTTTAATTTATATTTAAAAAAATAAAGAGTCTATTAAAATCTTATTTATAAAAAGTTTTAGCGATACAAGCAGCTCATAATAAATTAAATTTAATTCCAAATTTAAAATCTCATTAAACTTACTGCTTGAGGGATCCCCAGCACAGTGAAGATAGCCAAAGCACCAACTTTCACACCAACCGACGGTGGCAAAATATGGCCGGTCGCTCCACCGCTCACGGCCGCCACCCCTCGCCGATTCGACTCCGCCATTTTGGTAACCAAAAGTGTCATGGCCAAACAAAACGCCAATAGAAAATTCACAATCCCCCACAGTCTCTTCACCCCACCAACCGCACGTGCCAAATACTCAACCCCAAGAGACGTCAGCCCCAGAACGACGGCGTTTAACATTAAACCCAAGGCCCCGGCCCGCACGCCATCGTTGTACGTTTTCAGCTCCTTCGCACTCCCTTGCGAATTCCCGCCGTAAACCTCCCGCCCCATCCAGTCCGTGTCGAACAACAAAAACGGGAACCATGCAATCCAGTTGAGCGCCGTAACGAGAAGAAGAATCCACATGGGTTTTTGTAATCCCTTAAACGCGGTAAAAATTTCTCCAAAAAATGGCACTTTTGAGTTTGACGACTCTTCTACGAGCTTGTCTCCGCTGGCGACAATCTCGCCGCCCTCGTTCCCGGAGTTTTCCGGCGACCAGGGGTTTTCGCGTACGTAACTCAGAGCAGCCGTGGTTAGCGTTAAGAGGAGTGTTATGGAGAGAATGAAACAAGTCTTGAGGTTCGCGCAGTAATAATCACAAGATTTTGTTTTGGTAAACGGGAGCATGTGGTAAAGATGAGTGTAGGAGCCGGCGGCGTAGCCGAGAACGTTACCGACCGCCATGAAGAAGGAGAAAAAATTGTTAGCGGTCCGAGTTTTCTTATGGTTGTTCCCGGAAAGATCCGCGAGAAACGCCCGGCAGGGTCCCTGCAACGTGTTGTTCGCGACGTCGAGGATCCAGAACCCGAGAACAAAGACGGCGATAGCCCGCGGTTTGATCTGTCGGGAGACGGAGTCCCCAAACAGGTGTCCCAAATCGGCAGCGAAGCCAATGAGGAAGACGGCAATAGCGACGAGAACAGCCCCGGCGGCAATGAAGGGCCGGCGGCGTCCGAAACGGGAGGTGCATGTGTCACTATGGAAACCAACAATCGGCTGCACGAGTAGCCCGGAAACGGGGCCGCAGAGCCAAATTAGGGAAGCCCATTTATGAGGGATTCCAAGAAGCTGAACGTAGGGAGTGAGTAAAGAGAGCTGAAGCGCCCAGCCGAACTGGATCCCGCAGGCAATGGAGGCCACCGTTACAATCTTTTTAAAAGACTGTGACGATGGCTGCTCTTGCTCGAGCTGCTGAACCTCCATTATTTTTTCTTTTAAGTAAAATCAAGAACGATTGCTCAAGCTAAGGAGAAGAAGATAAGAGAAATGTTGGTGTTGAGTTTGTGGGATTTGCATGAGAATTTATAAGGGAGAGACTTGAGTTGAGTTGCATGAGGGACTGCAACTGGCGAGATTTCGGAAAGAGGCTTATCCGAGATTTGAATTGTTGTCTGACTGTGAATAGTGAGGGGGTAGGGGGTACAGAATCAGGGGGGACACTTGTTGGACGATAATAAATTGTAATTACTAAGTTTAGAAGGGGAATTAAATTTTGGAAATAGATTATTCACAGGAATTTATTAGGGTGAAGACTTTGGGTGTTTTATTCCTTTGGGAGGGTCTCTTTTTTTAGTGATGATGGGCGTTTATAATTAGATCATACAAGGGCAGATTGAAACTTATAACTTAGTGTGATTATTATTCTAAAAATAAGAAATAAATGAGGTATTTATGGATGAAAGAGTTAATCAATTATTCACGTGAGGTAGTTAAGTTTTACATGTTAAAAACTTAAAATAAACACTAAGAGGAAAATTTTGTAAATATTTATAAAATTATTTACATGTTAAAATAAGCAATAAGTGGGAAATTCAGTAAATATTTATAAAAGAATAAATTATTGGGATTTGGTACTTACCATCAAGCCAAAAGCTATATTGCTTACAACAGAGTCCTAATCTTGTTTCTTTAAACCATCTATCTTTAATTCTTTCGTCCATTGAGGAAGATTAATGTCCTTGACTCATATCTCCAAGGTAGATGGGATTATAACAGAATTTTGTCAAATTAATAATGCTATCATATCACTTGGGACAATATTTATGTTGATGCTTAATTTCGAAACTAACAACTCGAAGGTGTAAAATGTTAAACGGACTTAGAAATTAAACGTGATATGAAGATGTGCAACGAGAGAAAAAACAAAAAACGATTTTTAAAGTGATTTGGATGCTAAAAAACGAATCCTACATCCACTAAATATGTATTAATGGATGATTACAGTCAAGTTGCGTGTAACGAGCTGAGTTACAATCTAGAGAAAACTTAAATACAGAAAGAAAGTCTGCTTTTGAAAAGTAAAGAATGAGTGAATCCCGTAAATGAAGGAGGAGCCCTCTATTTATGGTCGAGAGATTCAAAGTGGTAATCATGATTCCATAGTCGGGCAGGTGTGGTACACTTCCTAACGCGTTTCTCATTGGCTATCTGTATAGGAGATATCCTTAAATCGCATAGGGCTTAGGCAGGTGGACAATTCTTAGTCACTCACTACCCAGGCTTTCACCTGCCACACTGACAACAACCTTACCTCTTCCGTCCTTGCGTGACGTGGCAGCGTTTGGATGGCACAAAGTCTTCCTGAACTTTGATTGGCCCTTGCTGGCATGAGCTTACGTCAGCCCTGATTTTTTAGGCATAATAGAAGCCCCCCAATTTTTAAGATTTAAGGATTGAACCTTGAGAACTTATGATTATGCAGTGACTTGACTTATCCTGAGTGACGCCTGATCGAGCTGTATGAGACAAGCAGTTAAGATAACATAAAACTAGTGGTTCAACCTGACCATCGAGCTGTAAGGAGGTCACAGCATAGGTCTCTAAGAATAGCACAAGCGACCTGAGGCGGCATTCTCCCATAGGTTCAATGACTTGGGTCGAACCCTACTC